TGGCTCAAAAGGCAGATCCATTTTTAATTTTTTTTGAGGTATTTCCATAAGGCTTTCCATAGTGGTATAAAAATCTGCATTCCCACCAATAGCGCAAAAGTGTTCCCTTTTCCCCACATCCTTGCCCCAAGCACTAGTTGTTTATTGATTTATTGATGATAGACATTCTGACAGGTATGAAGTGGTATCTCGTTGTGGTTTTAATTTGCATTTCTTTGATGATTAGTGACACTGGGCATGTTTTCATATGTATATTAGCCATCTGTATGTCCTCTTTGGAGAAGTGTCTATTCAGCCCCTTTGCCCATTTTTTAATTGGGTTATTTGGGGGTTTTTTTGGTGTTGAGTTTTTTAAGTTCTTTATAAATTTTGGATGTTAACCCCTTATCAGATATATTGGCAATATTCTCTCCCATTCTGTGTGTTGTCTTTTATTTTGTTGATGTTTTCCTTTGTTGTGTAAAAACTTTTAAATTTGTTGTACATCTGATATTTCATTGTGGTTTTAATGTACATTTCTCTGATGATTAGTGATATTGAGCATCTTTTCATGTGTCTATTGGCCATCTATGTGTCCTCCTTGGAGAAGTGTCTATTCAGGTACTTTGTCCACTTTTAAATTAGGTTGTTTGGATTTTTTTGTGTTGAATTTTGTGAGTTCTCTATAAATTTGGATAGTAGCCCCTTATTCAATATACCACTCTATGCTTCAAGTCCAATCATACCCTGTGGCTGCAGTGAAGAGTGTGGACAAATGATCAGTATTCCTTCTTCTTTCCTGACACCGCACCATTAGAGGAGTCATGGGGATTTCTCTAACATGGTCCTCCGTGAGTTTTTAAAAACAAATGTGTTTTTGAAGGTGTTGCTGAACTGTGTCTGCAGGAACCATGTGTGTGCAGAGTCTGCAATTCAGAGTTCTGTGGTTTTAGACACATTGCTGCTTCTGATTGCTTTTGGTCACGTGCCCTTCTTTAACTTCAACAAAATGTTGGTTGGTTTCGATGAGAGAATTTTCCGTGGGAATTCCGGTCTTGAGACCGTGTTTGCTGTCCTCAAATGATCTTCTGCTCGGGCTTATCTGCTGGGGTGATTCTGTGTGCTAGAGGAAGTGGTTACAAAAGTTTAAATATTCTGGGCAACTGAGAGACAGCAACAGCCAGCAACTGCTTCCTGAGATTGTCACTATACAGTTCAGCCTCTTTTAACAGTTGTGAGTTTTTTTTTTAAAGAGATTCCTTCTTCACCTGTTTTTGCACTTCCCTCAGTGGATTCTGTTTTAGTTAATAATCTGATGTCAGCTTTCTGATGCTCTTTCTCAGCCACAAAAACAAAAATGATGGCAAGATAACTTTCTTCCAAACACTGAGTGGATTTGGAAACTTGTCAGGATCCAAATCAGTTATTTTGGCAGTAACTGATCCTGTGCCTGGTTTGTACTTTCCTGAGCACAGCTGTGTGCATAGCCCAGTGGCAGGCACTTGGGGAACACAACGGTACACGAGGAACGAAGGGCTTTGCCCTCAAGGAACTCATGTATCAAAAGGAACTTGAATGGTAACTGAGTGGCCCTGTGAGAAAGTCTGATGGAGGAAGTGCTGGAATGTTCTCCAAAGGGCACTGAGAGAGAAGCTAATCTATACAGAGAGGTTCAAATGACAAGATGTCATTTGAATATAACCTTAATCCTTAATATAAGCTACTAAAATTGAATAAAATTTCTTTGTTAAGGTGAAGGCAGTAAAGAAAGAGATTAAAGGACTGCTATGGATTCTTTCTTACTCTATAAATTTATAAAATAAAATTGGATAAAAATCTTTTTGTAACTTTCAAATGCCCCCCTAATAAGAGTCATATGTATCTTTAACAATAGTTCTCAAACTTATTTCAGACACTGAGTGAGCTCATGGAAACATGTTAGGAGCCAAATCTGTTTTTTTCCATTTTAAAAGAAAAAGAAATGTTACGGATCCACAGTGTTGACTTTAACCACTTCTATTTTGATGCAACATAAATGTGTGTGAATGTAAAATATGCATAAACTTTTTGTCCTTGCAGTTTTTTTTTCTTTCCCCTATGGCAACTTAGATGTACATTATTTAGCCTTGCTTCATCACTTGCAATTATGCAAATTCATACTACAAAAGAAAAGTTTTGTGTTTTTACTTGGCAGAAGAATTGTGTGAGAGTAGCAGACACGGACTGTTGCCATCACATTTAACCGAAGGCCCTGCCAAAGACAGAGGGCCTGGCACCAGTGCTTTGAAGTTTATCTCCAATCACTTGGCACAAGCTGTCTTGTGAAGGCAAACGTGGGAGCCAAAGTCACATGACAGTGTTCAGTCATAAATGTCAACCAGATTATCTAAAATGTGCTTATCTCGGTGTTAGCAATTTTGATCATCGAAGTGAAAACAAAAATTTTTCATTTTCACAGAACTCAAGATTTTATCGGTAGACAAGGACAACAGTTTGAGAAATACTAGTCTGTAGAATATTGGGCAAATACCCTGATAATCATGAAGTAGTTCCCTTTTTTTTTCCATTTCTCAGAAAAGATTGGTGACATTTCTGAGTATATCTGCTAACTTCTCTTTCGTCCTCAGCCTTGAGCTGTTCTCTTGGCCAAGGCCCTCCGTTTCTACATTAAAAGACTTTGGGATGGAGTTAATGGAATTGGAGTGGGTGTTAGGCCTAAACAGGGTTCAGTTAAGAGAAAATAATGATTTAAATATTTTCATGGAATACTAGATTTGCCATTGCCTTTCTTTCTGCCACTGTGCCATGAATTCTTTGAGAAAGGAACTGTGTCTTACCATCTGCTGGATTCCTAGTATGTGATACCATGTCTACCGTGTAGTAGGCACTCAGAAAATGCTTGCTGAATGGATATCAGTGTAAGAAAGCACTTAGTGGTGTGATGTACATCAGATGACCCGTGCCAGGGTCTTGTTCCTGGAAGCCTATGACCCATAACTCTTCACTGTGATAAACTGGCTGACCTGATAGAAAACTAGTCTCAGCCTGCCTCTGCTATGATTTTCCTTATGAATCAGATCAGCAACTTGCACTGCTTGAGGGTTAATATCTGGAAAGTGATGAAAAAAATTTCAATTGGCATATTTCCTTTGGTGTCTTGTCTTTTCCTTTCCTCACCCTGTCCTCCTTGTGATTCAGGAAGCTATGATCTTTTCCTTATTCACAGGAAACATGCAGGCCACAGCCCTGGGCACGAGGCCTGTGTCATTACCCCACCCGCTCTGTGTAACTCCAGTCAAGGCAGTGCGGCCCAGTGCTCGGCCTGTTTGCTTTCTGGTTTTGACCTCTTCCCCCGATTCACTGTGATCATAGACTGCAGAGATAAACTGTGTATTTGCTGCAGATAGATTTCGATTTTTCAAGATCAAAGTATATTGTTACTGACCCTTAGAAGAACACTTTTTTAAGTTATTGTTTATTTTTTCTCCAAGATAACTCTTCTCTAAGTTAGCTCTTTTAAACCAACTTTTGTATTTCTTATCAAAAAATCTTCCACCAGATAGTGAGCCTTGGTTTTCATCATGTGCCTCAGACATGTGATTTTAACACTCGAGGGGAAATATTCTGGTTGGTTGGTGCACTGAAACTGAAATAGCTTTAAGCAGAGGCCTTTCTTTCCATACTGTATGAATGTAGCTACTGGCAATGAAGCACAGGAAAAACAACTGGCAGGACCAAGATTAGTTGCTTCATATGCTGACATATTATGTAAAATGGATCTAGCCAGAAGAAGCCAAGAACTGAGCTCTGTTTAATCTCCTCTAGCAAGTTCTGCGGTTGAGAAGAAAAATCAGGTGACTTTTCTGTGCTTTAGGGAATTTCTCATCTCAACGGTTAAGCCTGGCCTTCCACCTCATTGTCTTCAAACCTCTAAGCAATTCAGAAGAAAATTTGGAATTGAAACTATAAAGTGCAGTGGAACTTTATGAAAATAATAAACAAGAAAACAAAATGCTCTATAGATAAGAACTAAATCTAAATAGATACTTAATCTAAATAACTATTTGCTGTTTTACAGTATACAGGAATCCAAATACAATGTCATTAGCACTTAGAGTAAAATTGCACACTATGCTGGCCCTATGTTCCTATGGAATGGAATGCTTTCAGTCATAGTTTATGTTATTATTTTTTCCTCATTTCATAGCAAATAATAGGGTGTGCTTTCAAATAGCGTGGTGCAAATCAGAGGAAGCATTTAGGAAAAAATTTATTAAAATTATATGCATATAAAGAATTAAAAATAGTAACATGACTCATCTCACAAAAAAACTGGTGTTATCACATTATCTGTAATAAAATAATGGTGGAAATAGCACACATTGTTGTGTGTGATATGTGTTTGTGTAGGTGTATCTACATTTACGCTGGTGGACACACAAGCTGTTTCACCAGCTGTAGTAACTGAAAGTGTTTCAAATTGTCGGTTATTTGAAAGAGCCGTATGCTTTTATATCGAGTATATAATGTATAGATGCTATCTGCCTCCAAGTAAGAATGTACTCATCGCACATAATTTAAAGGTACTGCCTCAGGAAAGTAAATGACTATCTCCGCACACTCACTTTTTAGAATGATAGAGAATTGGCCTGCATGATGCTAGACTGTTGCTTAGATTCAAGCCCACAACAGGCTTTAGCTCAAAGCAGAGACTGAGTTTTATTGGTTGGATGGTACTCCTACCTGTAGCAGGACTTGGGCATCACAATAGAAGATAATAAAATAATCTTTTCCCCACATTAAGCCTGGGCTATGTTGATGTCTGTCTGTGCAGTTGTCCCTGAAGGCAGGGACCATGTTCGTCTTGGATGTGTATCCCTAGGGTACCACATAGTATTATGACACATAAAGAATACCCCCGCGATGCTGTGATCATTATCTTTTAAATTCATTCCTAAAGCTCTGAGTTATGTCCTAAAAGTCTACTACAGATATTGTGAGCTGTTTCTTTGCTGGAACAGGGAGAAGATCCAATTTATCCGAACTGAAGGGACCCCAGGATTGGTGCGTCTTTCAAGTGATGCAGACCTCGTGATGTTGCTAAGGTGCGTAGTACTGGTTGGTAAACTAGCCAGTCAGTCTCCTGCCATCAGATATGCTGGGGCATTTTAGAAAGTGATGTGACAATAGTGGTAGCCTGAAAAGGTCTCCTTTATTCTCGAAGGCTCGTGGGATACTCATGTTGAAGAGGTGGGTGCTGGTTTGGTGATCATTCGCTTCAGATTGCATTTCTTATCACTGAGATGGTTGATTTTGTTTTTACCCTGCTTATAAAGGAGGTGCTGTTAGAGAAGGAAAGGGCTTGTAGAGGCCAATGAATGGAATGTTCCATTTACAGAATGGAACAGAAGGTTGTACCCAGCTTACCCCTTCGGAGCATAAGAGGTCGTGTTTATATTTTCTTTCAAATTTTTTGCTCAAAATGTGCTTTGTCCCCTTTTGTTGATTCAATACCATTTGTTTACTTTATGGTTTTGAGAGTTTATGTTTGGGAAATCAGATCAAGTTGAAATCTGGTCACTGGTGCTGACTGCCAACTTGATAGCCCTTCATAAAACTGACCGATTGTGTTTTCTTTGCTGATGGTTAGATCAGCTTTGGTTTTAAATTTTAGAGTAGTTTAGAAGGGAAAAATAGCAAGTTTTCAAAAACCTTTTTTAAAATTTTTAATATTATCCTTCAAAGGTAGGAGACCAGGGTAAAATGATGCTGTGTTCTACCCAGTGGTTGGGATGCCCCCACCACTGTGACCTCCATAGAATTAAAGGGCAAGTCCTGCCGAGCCATGCCAGGCAGTGTTTTACTTTTCCCCAAGCGCTGGCAACCTCATTCCTGTTGTTCATAATGGTCTTCACCCTAACCATTTCTAACCGTCTGCTTGGTAGTTGCCATCTTTTAAAAGCTAAAGCCAAAAAGTTATTTTCCTCTACTGGATATTTGGAGTACAGTTCAAAGGGATATATTCACTTTTGATAAAGACTTCATTTCACTTGATTCTGAGTAAGTCCTATGGGACAGGGGATTACTTTTCAGTCTAGGAGGAGACCCTTGACTCTGGTGTCCAGAGTTAGTTCTGAAAACAGGATGTAGAATACTGGATGGTCAGGAGGATTGTCAGTCAGTGAATATGGAATATGATATTTCTGTTATAGTTTGGTAATAAAATAGTAAGTTTTGTTCCAGAACTCTGAGATGTGACTCTTTCACTTTCTTCTAGAAATCTAAGGTTTTTCACTTAAACTAAAGAATTCTGCTTTTGGTATTAGTAAAAACAGAAATCATGTTTATCATTTGTGTGTACTTAGTGAATAATCTTCAGATGATATGGTCCTAAATATTTTAAGTTACAATACAGCTTTAGAATATTTGTACTTCGGTAATTAAGCACCATACTTTGCATGACTTTCTGTGTGTTATGTGGTGGGATCTTTAAAATATTTGAAAATTGATATGTGTATATATACAAATATGAAGAGCAAGACTATGTTTTCTCTCATTTGGAGAATTATGCATGTTCTCCAAAGTTAATGGACCTTTGAAAAAGCATGAGGAATTCACTTATGTATAGTAGTTCTCTAATTATTACAATAGAAATGATGTTACTCAGTTTTTTACTTCATTTGGATGATCAAATATATTATTTTAATAACTGTACACAGTGACACAATGTATTACACTTGCATGCTTAATAAATAACATTTAGGGATTAATGGAATTTTTAGGGATGTCCTCTGTTCTTTATTTTTTATTTTACTTTGGAGTTTGAGTCATTCGAATCAGTGACTATAAACTTGAGCAATGAATTTGCTGCAAACATGGAGGGAGACTTGGTGCCTGTTTTTCCATGTCATCTATTTCTTAAAAAGGAAAGTCACTCCTGGTGCAAATGGACTTGATTGTCACAAGCGGCAATGTAGAGATAATTTAATTCCAAATAAACCTATGTAAGGATATTTTCCAACATGGGTATTATAAAAATTAAAAACTTTTAAATGACCTTATTGCATTTGTCATAGATTATTCTATTTCATATATTCTTTCACAAACTCGGCTCTTGTAAAAAAATATACCTCTATTGGAGTTCAATAGGAAATGATTGATACGTTTCATTACATTCATCTTTTAAAATTGGCATAATGAAAGACACCACATATCAAGACATAAAGAAAAGTAACAAACCAGAAGGATATATTCACAACACATAAAAAGGACATCATGAGTAAAGAATGCCTTTAAATCTATTTAAAAAAAGAAAACCCAAAAGAAAAATGGGTAAAGGATATAAAAAGGCATTTCACAGAAATTGAAGCAAGAATAACCAGTAAACTTATGGAATGATGCTAGCAGTTATAAAATGCAATTTCGAATAATGAGATACTGTTTCACACTATTAGATTTGAAGAAGTCGAAAAGCGTAATAATACCAAATGAGAACTAGGAAGTCTCGCGCTGCCTGGACTTGGAGGGATTGCCATTTCTAGGGCCTCTTCAGGACGCAACTTGGAAATGGTCTGTAGAGTTGGAAAGACCTCTACATTGTGACTGAGCAATTCTAATTTTAGATATGTACTATATTTATACCAAGAAACGGTTTTATGTATACACAAGGTGATTATGTGCAGGCTGTTCATTGTTCCATTGCTGATAAAAAGCACAAAGTTGGGGGAAAAGTAAATATTTGTCAGAGAAGATAGGAATAAATAAACAGATTTGTTCTTAGAATGACCTACTGCATAGCAAGTAAAAATAATAAACTGTGCCCTCATGTACCGACGTAGGCAAATATCGGGAATATGTTGATGGGGGAGCAAAAAATGCTCGAGGGCTGTATGCACACAGCGTTTGTAATTTTGAGCAGTGATTTAGGCAAAACTACAAATTGTTTAAAATATAAAATATGTTGCAAAATATAAAACTATGAAAGGAAGGACACCTATTAAACTCACAGAGGAAAACAAAAGGCACTTCATAGACACATGCACACATGAAGATATATGTACATTTATATGTGTATGTATATACATTCATACAGATCTATAAGTATACATGTGGTTTGTCTAAAGTAAAAATAATGACATTGACATTTATTACTATTGGGATGCAGCTGTGGACATCTGAGGAGAGGATGCTAATTCCTACTCTGCAATTAGTTTAGCTATAGGTTTCCAGATCTTTGTGGTAGCAACTGTTACATGGGACTTTTCCTTAGCAGTTAATTTTAAGTTCACATGATCCCCAATGGCTATTGATTTATTGAAAAAAGAGAAATGACTCTTTGGGGGCTTAATTTGGTGTTAAAAATATGATTACTTACTGCTTCTGTTTCCAAATCTTCTGACTTCTATAGTTTTAAAATAGAAAGCTGGCCTTAAAAAATACTGTGTCTAAAAATGTTTTTGCTACGATGGTCAGCCCAGCAGACGTGTGCATGTGAATGGAGAATGAGGGAAAGGTTTATCAAGTCTTCACTGCATCGCTATCCCTCTGGCTTTGGCGGCCTCAGAAGTGTTGGCGTTGTGGGCCGGATATGTCTTTGTCGTAGGGAGCTGTTCTGTGCACTGGAAGATGTTTATTAGCATCTTGGCCTCCTTCCCACCAGATACCAAAAGCACCACTTCTCCCAGTCATGACAACCAAAAATGTCCTCAGACATCACCCAACGGCCTTGGGCAGTGTTGGGGAAGGGCACAGTTGCCTGGGTGAGAACCAGCGCTAGAGCCCTCAGGAGCCCTTTCATGAAATCTCTACAAAACTAAAGTGTTGCCACATTTTCTGAATGTCTTCTGAAAACAAGTAACAGGTTTCTAGATTTGGCCAAGTTGGAAGAAAACCTACTTCCACTGCTTAATTAAAAAACTCTTTTACTGTTGCTTTAATCCTATTTTGTTTATTTGAGCTTAGTGTGTTTGTTTATTTGAGCTTAGCGCAGCGATCAATACTACTTTTCATTATCATAATACTTGTGGTGCTCTGGGACTTGAAGATATCACATATCCGCTTACTGTTTTTTTAGAAAACTATTGGAAACAACAGATACTGTATTGAATAATCTAACATCAAAACCCTCACATTTGAAAAACTTTCTAAAGCCAGAGTAAACGAGGGAGCTGATTATTTGGAGATATTTTGTTTTATTTTACTACTAACTCTCCATTTGAATTCCAAGCTTTGAAGACTGAAATTCTGCTATTTCTTGGAATGAAGATATGGAACATACTTTGTGTATCTGTTATGGGTTCTCAATAAATGTCTGGTGTGTTTGAGTCTTATTCCCAAATTTTAAAACCCAGGTACTATTTCATACAAACCTGTAAATGCAAACTCATGTATTAAAGTAGCAAATCAGAAATTATGTTGTCCAGAGTTGGTTGGAAAACAGACATGTAACCACAGGTTTCACAAAAGCTGCGACAGCCAGCCAGTCTGTCCCGAGAATTACCAGGCCTGGGAGGGAGGAGTGCCCTCCCTGGGGTGTGGAACCGAACTCGGATGGTGTGGTCTTACTCGTTGTGGAAATGAGGCTCTTTCTTACCTCCTCAGCTAAAGTATGCATTTTGTTTCTTGTTTTTCCCCAGTTTATTTGAAGAAGAGATAATGTCTTACGTGCCTCCACATGCCTTACTCCACCCCAGCTACTGTCAGTCCCCACGTGGCTCCCCTGTGTCCTCTCCCCAGAACTCGCCAGGTGAGTCCACCTGCAGCTCACAGTGAATTCTCTGAGAAGTGAGCCTTAAAGTCAGATGTTCTGTTCTTCACAAAGGACCGTAAAGGAGCTCTTTGGGTACACCTGTAATGTTAGCACAGGTACATGCTGTGCAGCACTGTCTTTTACCACTGGCTCGTTTCCATGGGGATTCATTATGACAGGAAGATGATGAAATTCCGGGCCAGGAAGATCAAAGTTCACAGTACGATACACTCAGATACAGAATTTACTTTTCATTATGCAGTGCCTAATATACCTTGGAAAAGATTAGGGCACAAAATAACTACGGTAACTTTTTGGATTAAAAAAGTTCTGGTTAAGACTGAGTCAACCAATAATAAAAAGAAATCTCTACTTTGAAGAAACAATGTAGAATTAAAATTGGTCAGTTTACAGGACTTGGATAGGGTTTCCCTGCAGTAGTCCCACCCTGCCCCAGACAGGAAGACTGAAAGCTCACGGACAGACAGAATGTGTGAAACCAACTAAAGTCTTTAGGTTCACATTCTTTTTGAAAGAGGTTATGTTGTGAAAGAAGTAGTGGATGGATGACGGGATGGGTGGATGGAGGATGATAGAAAGTGCAGCTTAGCCAGTGAGGTTTTTTGGAGGAAGGTGGTCATGATGTTGACAGGACACCAGCTGTGTTCACCCTTGTTAAAGGCAATGCATTGTTCACAATTTAACAGCTATCAGAATTTAAAACTTTTAATGAAAGCCAAACTCTGTATGTGTCACTAGAAGCTGCTCTATGTTCTTTGCTATTTGACATGTGTTTTCACATATTCTTATGGTAATGAAGCCACAGCCTAATTGAATAGTACAAACAGGAAAAGGTCTATTAATTTGCTCATGTAACACAGTTTTATTGAGTATCCATCTATGATCCAAGCACTGAGCTAAATGCTGGTGCTACAAAGATGCCTAATGCACTCTCTGCCTTTGAAGGATTCACACTGGGCCAGGGAGTCAACAAGTGACTCCACAGAGCTCTGTGGTTAGTCCTGTGTCGAAGAGATGTCTGGGAACACTGAGGTGGGGGCAGTTCTTCCTTTCCAACTGGGTTGGGGTGTGTGGGGAAAGTTGAAGAGAACAGGTATGCGGGGGATCCTTGAAGAATGATGACTAGGATCTCACCAGGTGAAACAAAGGAAGAAGGTGATTTGAGGTAAATGAGTAGCAAAAGATAAGCCACAAAACCATGAAAGTAGTCTAGGGCAAATTGGTAGATAAGAGTGAAAGCAAGTTCTCAAAGCTCAGGTTGGAGAGATAGACTAGGGCCAGTTGGTCACTGATGCCATATTTCATAGTCTATGTGGAGCCACTAAGAATTTACAAACAAAGGAAATCCTGTTTTACAAAGATCAGTCTGGTGGCAACACAGAAGATGAATTAGAATATGGGAGACTAGAATCTATTGTATTAACCCAGGCAACATGCTGAAGGGCTGCACTAGTGGTAATAGAGAAGAGGGAAGTAACTTAGAAGATATGTTAGGATGTAGAGATACCAGGACTTTGAGTCCAGGTAGGAGGATCCTGAGGTCAAGGCAGATTCTGAGGCCCTCCCACCTAGATTACTAGGCAGATGGTAACACCACTTATCAAGAAAGAAAGGTTCGGCTGGAGGGGAGGGGAAAATGAGTCTGGTTTGGGACATGTGTTGTTGAGGAATCTTTGGAGATATCCAAGCAACTGGAAAAGACAGGGGGCATAGGAGAAGTTGGTGGCCAGGAATACCGGAAGCTGGTGGTGGCTGAGGCCCAGAGTGCAGAGTAGAGGAGCCGGGGAAGGCAAGGCTGTGGGAGAAGAGAAGACAGAGGATGGTGACAGGAGGACCTCCAGCGTCTCAGGGAGGGGCTGCAGCAGAGGAGCAAGTGAAGGAAAGAGAGCCAGTGGGTTTTGGAAGAGAATTAGGAAAGTCTTTTCAGGGAAGCCAGGCTTCGAGGAGGAGTGAGTGATTAACAACAGGGCGAGATTTTCCAAGGATTCAAGTAGGATGAGGCTTGAGGAGAGGCCATTCCATCTGAATATCATGACGTTATATATGGCCTTTGCCAGGGCTGTTTCCATGAAGTATTAGGTTGCAGAATGATACAGGATGTCAAGTAGAAGCCAGGAGCACAGACTATTCTTTCCACAGAGTATGACAAGAACGAAAGAAGTGTTCTTTTTATGAAGTACGGAAGGAAAGAAAAGCAGGACAGCACTTAGAAGGGGAATAAGAGTTAAGGAAGGGGTTTTAGGGTGGGGAAGTTGAGCACGTGCTTGTACAGAGGTCAAGGGATGTGGGTGAAAAGACAGTGCTTCCTAGAATGGGGCGGCGCCTCAGCAGTGGAACACAGCACAGACCCACGGGCACTGGCGGCAAAAGCACAGATGAGCTTTGGAACAAAGTAGGGACGCCCGTTCTGATGATTCAGGATGAAAGGCATGTGTATGACACCACAGGAAAGTTTAAATGTTACTGAGAAGTTTGCCGCGAAGGGGTAGGGGCAAGTTGATGTAATTCACAGCTGGCCTTAGCCTTTGTTAACTGTATGTGACTCTGGGCAGTTTGCCTCCTTCCCTAACCTTGAATTTCCTTTCTCTGAAATGGGAATAATAGTAATCACCTCCCATGTTTGTTTGGAGAACACCTTGCCGGGGAACACCATAACAAGCATCCAGTAAATGTTAATTTATTCTTTTTTTCCCCTTTTGTGAAACGTGATCCCGAAAAGTATAGTTTGCCAACATTTTAATCATTCATAACTGGAATATATGAATCCATTTCTCCCTGATTCTGCGGAGCTGGCAGCCTCAATATTTAGTCACTCTGGTCTTTATCTTAGCTGGAACCTGTGATGAAGTAAAATGGGTTGTCCCTTTCCCGGATGCTCTGTGGTTAAAGAAATGAAGCTGCGTGGCTTATTGTTGATTCCGTTCGAGGTTTTCCTTTCCAGGCCTTTTCCGTGGCCCACCCTCCCTGAGCAAAAGGTGGAGCGATCACCGCATTCTGTCCCTGTTGCACCCCACAAGGCGCGTGCCTTGGAGACTTGCCTAAATGTTCTTAGAGACTTAGTGTGAACACTCTAATTGAAATGGTGACTAGATCACTTCATTTAGCATCACAAAGGTACATGAGTAACCCACAGGAGCAATAAAATGCACCCTGGAAGCAGATTTATGGTCATTTTCCAAAGACATGGAGAACCCAAATATATCTAAATTGCTAGCAGTGTTTGTGGTGGTTTTAATTTTCTGGAAGAATCATCTCCATATTTTTGGCCTGCTCCTTTTCAGTGGGCTTTATTTGATCTTAAAATTGGGATGTACTGACTGATATCAATGGAAGTAACTCTAACTAAGTCCACATGATGGAAGGGCAGAACTGGCTGGCCTCGTTTGCCCGGCGGAGCAGTCTTCTATTTCTTTGAGTAAAACAGCCTCTCCTCCAGGATCTCTCAAGTTTTGGTGAAAACACTTCAAAGAGATTTTTAACAGTTGTCTGATCCTCCTTCTTGTGACTAGAATTTCATCCCTTTTAGTGGTGTGGGAATAATACTGTGAAAATTATGACAATAATAAATTTTAATGACCTATTTTCAGAATGCCTAGGAACCTGGTAAACTTTCCACACTTTGTCTCATTCCAAGCGCATTTACATGTCTTTTCAAGTACAGAGGAGCAAGGGGCTTTGGAAACTCTGACTCACGGCTTCTCGCAGCTGTGAGAGTGCTCACCTAAAATTTGTCAAAATTTTGGAATGTGAAGGTTTGTTTTTCTAGGACCGTTCTAATGCCAGTCCCGACCTTAGCTTTTGCCAGAAGGAAAAAAAATCTTTCCAAACACCACATGGTTTATTATGTCAAAAATGAGACCCAGAAGTTGATTTCAGGGCCTTTTGTAGCTGTATATTCCTAGGAATTCAAATGCAGTAAATACCTAATTTATCCAATACCGTTGGAGATGTGCTCACTCATGTAACTTTTCCAAGTGACCGAAGCTGTGAGTGCATTGAGGAAATGCCATGGTTCGGGGGAATCACATCAGTACGTGACTAGCACGGACTCTGGAAGCCCCAGCCCCAGGTCACACCCAACAGAAGCAAAACAGACCAGAGAGCACTGAGGGCCATGTGGGTCTTGATGGCCTGGGATGGGGGAGGGAGTCACTTCTAACACACAGTGCGGCTCCTTAAGGGTCCTCTTTTTTCCTCTCTCTTTCCAAGGTCTTGGTATCTTAGCCACTGCTTATCTCCTGTTCTTTTCCCAAATATTCTGTCCCTGTTTCTCTCCTTCCTTTCCTCTCTTTCTCACTCCTCCCTTCCCCGTATACTTGATTTTAGAAACGGGGTTCTATCTCTTCTCTTGGTTCAGTCCCCACAAAGATAACCTGGGAACCAAATACTCCCTGGGTGGGTGGGGATGGAGGAGTTGTGATTCTAGAAGTGGAAGGAAAGATGAACACTGTCTCTTTCACAGTGAAGAGGTAGTTTTTTTGGTTTTGTTGTCTCTCTCGTCCCCCACCCCTTTTGCTGACAGGGGATGCCTGTCACTGGTATGGCCTTCAGCTTTCCCCTTTTAATAAGTTGCTTCCAGTTTGCCATGGTCTGAAAAATCGAGGTGGTTTTGTAAAATAAATAGTGGGAAAGGAAAGCATGAGAGAGCTCAGAACAATGACCTGAGGACTTCTCCTGCTCCCAGGGAATAAAGCAAAAATGTGAAGACTTCAGCGCTTGTGCTCCGTGCCAGCGATTTCGGAGGTGGGTTTCCCCCTTAATTTCCATTGTTGAGCTACGTTCCAGAAGATGGAGTCATCCAGAAATTATTGCGACGCTTGATAGGTAGTCACTAGCACAGAATTTTTTTAATGTCATAGAGGTGGTTTTTTTTTTTTTTTCTTTTTAAGAATGTGAACCAGGAAAGAAATGAGCTCCTGAGCCCTCCCAGTGCGAGCTCGGCCCCCATCCAGGGCAGCCTGGCCTCGTGCGGCACATCCCAAATTGGCCAAAGAGAGCCGGCCTTCTTAGAAGTTTGATGCAAAGATTTTTCTAGTATCACCTGAATTATTTTTTCAGGTAGAATTTTCTAGTTTGTAGCTGGTTGTGCCATTTTATAACAGTAAATAGAAATAATGTGGCACTATTTGCAAGTACTTTAGGTCTGCCTAGTAACGGTGAAGAAAAAAAGAAGCCAAATATCTGTTACTGAAATTTTTTCCTGCAAATAATTAACATAATGTTGACTATCCTATGAAGTCACCCTTTCTTTGATCATTTCCTAAATGCGACGTTGACCTTTCTGTGACTGACTTCCTTTTTTAAGACCATACAGACCATAAAATTACTCTCTCTCTGTAGGACTGTTATATCCTACAGCTTCACCGGGAGTTATGGTTCCCGTAGAACTCCATTAACTCAACCTTCCGAGATCAGTTTTGATTTCTAAAGTGGAAGGAACATTGTTCCTGCCCTGAAATTTCTTGGCAGTTGCACCTGACTTGCATTAAGAGTGTGACAAGGGCCAACAGCATAATTTACTGTAATTTTTAAACCATGAAGCAATGTGTAAATGATTTTTTCATAATAGAACTATTAGCAAAAGAATTTTTGCATTTAACAATGTCTGTCTCCAGAGTCTCCATAATTGAATCACTAAGAGTATAAATGGAGTCAGAGCTAATTTTATTGTCTGTATTGATATTGATGGGATGCATTATGGTGTTTCCCACATCCTTCTAAGCATCTCAAATCATACAGCAGTAGTATAATATGTGCTGTTTTGTTTTCTTCTTAAGTAATGAACTCTTGAAGAATTATGTTTCTTTCAAGTCCTGAAAGATTTTCTTTGAGTTCTTTGTTCTTCTTTTTCCTCTTCCCTGTCAATGGCCGTGGTCTTGAAAACTGATTCATCCAGGCTGCTTGCTGAGCTGTCTGGGTTTACCAGTCTGCAGCTCTCAGACAGCTTTGTTCCACACCCCTGGGTGGACTTGTGACACGCTGCCCTGTCCCTTGGCCATCCCGGAGAGCAGCCGAGTGCTCGGGGAGGTCGCATCCCTTCATGCGGTAGAGGATGCCTTTCAAATACACAGGAAGGATGCACCTGTGTGGGTCCCTGGACGCTGCCCAGGTGTTTCATTGGATACATTTGACCTCCCTTTGAGGGATAATGGTTTTCAACCTTGGCTGCACTTTGGAATTATCCAGAGAGCAGTATAAAACACTGATGCCTGGGTCCCACCCCCACAGATGCTGACGTAATGTGTCTTGGGTGTGGCCTGCATGCTGAGATTTTTTTAGAAGCTTCCCAAGTGATTCATATGCAGTCAGGGTTTGAGGACCACTGCCTAGGAGTCTCTGCTGTGCCCCAGATGTTTTACGATCAAGTTTATTTGTTTCCTTTATGACATAGCCCTTAGCTCTGTGGATAAAAGACTCATAACTACGCAGGCAGACCTCTGGACATATTATTGATCAGTAGCTGATTTCATTAAAATCCATTTGTAAAACCCCAGTGCAGTTCCCCATGTCATGATGTCTTTAGCCTTCACCTCTCTGCAGATGATTGCAATGAGGGCAAACAGAGACACAAGTCTTCCTGTGCGGAGACGATGCACAAAGCGCTGTTCGTGCACCAACTCATTTAACCTGAAGATGAGGCCCTGCTCTCTCGCCAGGAGTCCAGGACTGCATTTTCAAGTGCTTGTGCACTACACTCACCCCAACAGCGGTCACCTCCAGCTCCCTCCGTCTACAGCTTCCCGTGCCCTGTCTACCAGCATCATCTCTCACACTGCTTTCAGTGTCACGCGGGCCTGGCTCGAATCCCAAGCCTCCCATTCACTGGCACACGACTTCAGTGTCCTTGGTTACACAGCGGTAATGGTGGTGATAATGATACAGCCTGCATCACAGGCTTGTGAGGATTCCCCAAGATCCCCTGTGTAAAAGGCATGCCCCCTAATGCAGAGCAGGCCCTTAACCAGTGACAGCTATTGGTATTGTTCTAAAAACTTTGTGTCACTACAGAGAGCTTCCTGTTGCTCTTCCTTACTTACGTACTGTTACCAGTTCTTATCATACATTGTGAATGTTTTCTCTGAGTCACCACAATGCAGTCTAGTCCTCAGCCATGCCTCAGGCTTCTATTGCTGCAGCTACCCCCAACTGGGTCTCGGCCCTGCAATCTCTTCTCCTTGCCACCCTTAATCCACTCAACACACTCTGAACGTTGTTTCTCAAATAATAATATGTTGTTGGCTTGCTCAAGAAGCTGTAGGAGTCCCACTGCTCACTGCATCATGCCCAGTTTCCTCAGTGATACTTTTTAAATTCCTCTCATAATTTGCCTCCAACCTCCTGGCTGCTGAATTCCCCACCTACTCCTCAGCACGCCCCCTCTGCTCTGTGTTAGCAGGGTTTCCTCAGTGTCTTCTGAACATGCACACAGAGCCTATTTAACTCTTGCTGTGCGGACCAGCATAGAATATAGATTCTCTTGTTTACAAGGCCTGGTTCCAGTAAAACCTGCTTCCTAAGGTCTTTTCCATTTTGATCTCTACTTACGCTCCTTTAATACCACTTTTCCGTAGCACTGATCTCGAATGCAGATACTGAGGGGTGCTGGCCGCCGTGCCTTTGAGTGGCTGCGGCACGGTGCCCCAGGAGAACGCAAGCCAGTCACTTCAAGGGCTTCCAAATCGTTTTCAAAAGAAAATAATGATTTCTTTTACTTGAAATCTCTTAATGCTTAAATGTTGAAAGTTAATTTTAAATCTTTAAAAATGATTTTATGGCAAACAAAATAGATCGATAGGTCTGGACCCTGCCCCAGGGCACTGGTTTTATCCCTTCTGCTTTATATCTTGTTTGCCATCTAGTTTAGGACTTAATTATTCTCTAATTGTTTTATATGTTTTACTTCTGTCTTCCCAACCAAGACGTCCACCTCGTGAACCCTGCCATATTCATTTAGAGCATCTGTTGTTGAACCTAACACAGTATTAGCAATGAATAACAACCACTTAGTTTATTCATTCATTAAAGACATATTGAATGAGCTTACATGGTGTATAAGCTATGGACTTCAGAATTTTGGCTTTCCAGTTTATCCCATTGTGTTGTGCAACACGTAATGTTTCTGTCATGGCTCTGGGTCTGATGTCCATACTCATCCTCCACTTTGTGTCCTGGCTGGCCGGTTGGTCACCATGTGACCTACAAGCCAGAGTTCTCTGTTGAAAGAGGAACCGTTACTTCTACATTTCATTAATGATACTTACCATGTGATGAAATATAAGAAACGTCTGTAGATAATCTGTAGACGACCATGGTGCTTGGCCCCTGGAAGGAAACAACAAACAGAATATCATACACTCTTCGTGGATCCAGGGACTGTATGCCTTCTGCAATTGTGTCTGAATTCTGGGGTTTTTAAGGATTTTATTTATGTATTTTTAGAGAGAGGGGAAGGGAAGGAAAGAAAGAGAAACAGAGAAACATCAATGTGTGGTTGCCTCTCTCACGCCCTGCCCCAGGGACCTGGCCTGCAACCCAGGCAGGCGCCCCAACCAGGAATCGAACCGGCGACCCCTTGGTTTGCAGGCCCCTGCTCTGTCCACCAAGCCACACTAGCCAGGGCTGAATTCTGTTTTTATATCAAGATTATTCTACCTTACAATAAAAAAATGTATGTAGTTACGTGTCTGAAGTAATTCTTAGGGGTGTGAACATCCAAAAGAAGTTTTTGTACGTTTTCCATAAAGTCTGGAAACTCGCTATTCTTGCTTTATACACCACATACTTTTCACATTGTAACTTCCTGATTGATTAATTAATTGTCGTGATATCACTTCAACAGCAAGCAAAACGATTGCACCCTCAATAGTTACCATTACACATGAGTAACCCCATTTGACTCATTAGTCTGGAGTGAAAAGGGGAACATATTGACTAACACATGGCACCTTCGTAACAGTGGGAACAGCATTGTTCTTTTCAACCAAGATGCCACAGAGAAGACATCTCCTAAGACCCTGGTTAAGCTCTGGTTTAGTCTTTAACTTGGGCAGTTGGGAGCTGCAGGAACTAAATGTATTGCCTCCTTTTACTTGTGAACTGTGGTCTCAGCTCCCTGGTGGTTATTTTCTCATGATGATGCTGTGAACATCAGGATGTTGCACAAGTCCACACCCTCTTCTTTCTGTGGTTGCTGTAGGTACGCAGCGTGCTAATGCCCGGGCCCCAGCCCCTTACAAGCGGGACTTTGAAGCCAAACTAAGGAACTTCTACAGGAAGTTAGAGACTAAAGGATATGGACAAGGCCCAGGGAAATTAAAGTAAGTCAAAGGGGAACAAACACCCGGACTTGTAGATGGTGAAGGGGTGGGATGCACTTGGGAATGTAGAAATTGACTGTGATTTGGGACAGCCATCTTTGTTTTCCTTGGCATAATTATTTGGGTGTCTGCAAACTGCAGCACTGTAAAGAATATGGTTCTGGAAGTAAGCACAATTAAGCTTAAGACTTGAAAACAAATGGTAAAGAAACTACCATGCATGTAAAAAATATTAGGAAAAATTAAAAGCTGATTCGTTTATTTGTCCTGAGAAACACCTCTGATGGCTGAGAGTGTGTTTGTTAGATGTAAGGCCGTCACAACGTCCAGTCTTGCACTTCACTGTCTCCTGACCTGACCTGCGTGTAGGAACCGTACTCAGCACTGTTTCATTCTGTGCAGTGAACGTCACTTGTCCAACAGAATGTGTCACAAATGTGTCTGCCTGTCTTTATCCACCTCCACCTAAATGGGGAAATTGAAACATCATCATGATGTGTGGTCAGAATTATTTTTATTTTCTCCTTGCCCCTATAGCCTCCTTTGTCCCCACCTCCACCCCTGTGCCATGCCCCCAACTAGAGACCACTGTGCCGCCTGAGAGAGGACAGGGGAGGGGGTCTCTACTGTGGGACTGTCGTGTTCCGGGGTGCCCGAGAGAAGGCCCGGGGACCAGCCCCACAGCTCTATGCCCCACACATGGGGGGCTTGCTCAATTAAACTCACAGGTTCCACTTTTCATCACCCTCGAGAAACATCTGCCTGCCCAACCTCCGCTCCTCTCAGAGTTTTACCTTCCTGACGCTTCTCCTCCAAAGGCCTTGATGATCAAGCTTTCATCCTTTGGCCTCCATTATCATCTCCCTTTCCATGACTATTTTCATTAAAGGCAAACTGAAAGCTGCTTAAAGATGTCTTTATCATTATGACAAGTGGATTAATTGGCCACAAGTGTCAGTCATTAGTATCTGTCACTTAGGGAATCTCCAGATTCACTTAATTGAAAAACTAAATTAAGCACAATTATAAACTACTCTGCTTTGCAGGACACTGAGGTTTTGGTTTTTGTTTTTCCCTCCTTGTTCTCCTGGTCATCTCTCTAGGCACCTAGTAATTGAATTCCTTGCCTAGGTGCATTCAGGCTTCAAACATGACCTCATAGGGTTGTTCTTCTTTTACTAAACAAAAGTGTTGTGCCTGCGATGTTTCATAACCTCTTTGGATAAATTGGTTTTGCCATTCAGAAAGCCTTTTGGGATTGTTTCACAGATGATAGGTGGGGTGCTCTTTACCAATGATTCTCTTAGGTAACAGTTGCCAAGGCTGTTATGAGTTAAAGGCAAATGTATCCTGTGCGGCAGATAGCAATGACATTAAGTCACTCCTTCTTGCCTAGTTTGTTATGGTAAATGCAAATGAAATGGCAAGCCCCAGTTCTAGAAAGATAAGGACTAGGAAGTAATCTGTACTTTTCAAATTGTCTCCTTATGGACAGGTTAATTATCAGAAGAGATCACTTACTCGAAGATGCTTTTAATCAGATCATGGGCTACTCCCGAAAAGATCTGCAGCGAAACAAGCTGTACGTCACCTTCGTCGGGGAGGAAGGGTGAGTAGCAGGGGAAGTGGCTGCAGAGCACAGGCTGTGACTGCGGGGCGGGTGTTTCGCCACATCCTCGCTGCGGTCGCCTGAAACAGGAAATCCTTCTGGCAGGAAATGCCGCTCTCATGCACTGCAGCCTCTCGGCTTTCTTTAAAAAGGCTTTCTCTGGTTTTTAGATCATTTGCCATAGAAATTCTTTGGTAAAGACTTGTAACTATAGATCATTTTGGATAGCAGAGTTTGGTTTGGTTTCTTTTCTAATTCTCTCTTAAAGGGAAAAGGGAACTTCGAGTTAAAAAACCAAGGAATGCAGTCATTCCTAAATACAATCCTACTAGCTTCTGTGATCTTGTTAATCTGCACAGGGGTGTAAAGTAGAACGTGCTTCACGTGTTAAATAAACTCAGTTTCAGAGTCACGAATTAGAATCCTGCTGTTCTACCAGGAAGCCTCCACAGCAGAAATTCTTGGGTCCTGGTTGCTATTTGTCTGACCCCGTTTTTTCTCTCTTTTTGGCATGGCAGCACACCTGCCAAAATAACTCCCCGGTGTAATCAAAGGTGTCCACCTGCTGCCGCTCTTCCGTGAGTGTGCTCACATAGGTAAGGGTCAGGAAGTGGAGTGCAGACTCCCCAGTGTGTATTGCTTCCAACAAGACGTGGCAGCTGTTATATAACATTTGAGATGATGACAGCTCGCGTCTCTCCCAGACCCCTTCCTCTTTCCTCATTTCAGGTGAGGGTTTTAAGTTTCAGTACCTTCCCTGTAACCCAGGCACCGCTAGAGTGAATATAAAAAAAGTTGCACAATGGCTGGAACTCTGGTTGTCTTCTTGTTCTGTTGATTTGGGTTGTTTCAACACCATCCCTATCAGTCATGCCTAGGAGTAAACTGCTAGATTATGGGATCATATGGAATCACAGTAGTAGTATCCAAAAAGTGTAACCGTTCAGCATATGGTCCATGATATGGAGGCTCCAACGCATAAAACAACTGGCATGTGCTAACAGAACCAGAGAACAGCAAAACTGGGATTGAGAGTCACAACGAGGTCTCAGTCTTTCACTTGGCACTTTTGGGCCACCACTGAGATGGAGGCAAAACTCCTGAACGCTGGTCTGTCGGAATTTTTTTTCCTACCCGTGCATCTTTTCACCATTTCAGCAGTGCCTAATAACTTCTGCTCTTCATGTATACTGTTGTATAGTCTCCCAGCTATGACTGGGTTAAAGAAAAACATTACATGGGAAAACAATATAGTGTGACAAAGTGAACAGAAGCTTGCCTGAGACTTCAGCCTTTCATTACTGACAAGCCTTAATGGACCTCTAGCTGATGTTAATTGGCTTAAAGATGCAGGTGCACAATTGAAAATGAAGACAAATGTTGTTAGCCTAATCACAGGTATGCATGGGATGCCAAGTATTTCCTGCCCTGATCGGTCTGGTCTGAATGAGGATGCTTCTCCTCCCCCAGAAGTCCAGCTGCCTTCCTGCATGGTTGGACCACAGTTTGTTGAGATCTCAGAGGTATAGGGGAGAGTCTTTGGGAGCCCTAGAACTCAGGTTTGAATAGAACAGATGCTTTCAGTGTTTGATCATCCTAATGCAGTCTCCCTATGATCTGGACTGCTGACATCTATTCCCAGGAGGGGGCCCAGGCTGAGTGGGGCTTGATATCTCAGTATTTGATTGCCACTAATATCCAAATGCTTCTTGCTTCTATCACCTGTCTCCTACCTATAACCCCAGAGGGAAAATAAGTGTGAGGATACTCTGAGGTATGGTTTCAGTCATCAGAAATGATCTCTTAATGAGATATTATGGCTTACTGAAGCTGGAGTAGGGCTAGATAATTTCTGGCCTCATGGCTTTATCATGCCAATAGCATACATTCAGATGATTAGATACAGGCTTTATTTTGCTACTAGGCATTGAGAATACGTATACTATTTTCAAAAATTAACACAGTACACTTGATGGAGAATAGAAACCTAAAATCAACATAAAATTAAGAAGCTATTTTAGCCTTTGCCACCTTCTCAAATACATTCATTCTACTGCAGTAAACTTAAAGACCGGAATATTTCTTTCTGGGTTATAATAAATACCCCAAGTGAAAAGCTGCCTAAGTTTTTCAATGGAATAATAAAAATGGAGCTTGAAGTTTTCTGTCACTTTCCCTTCATTAATTTTGGTGCCCTTGAAATGTGTCATTGGGTAAATTCTTCATGTCCAGCTCTAGTAAAACGTATTTAAAGACATACACCAGTAGTGCCCAGATCTTGGATTCCAATATCGTTCTTCAATAGAAGGAAGTAGGGCTCCTTGAAGCAGTGCCCGGCTCTGGGACTGGGACAGGAAGTGTACGAGAAGAAGCCTGAAGGATCTTGTAGTGCCAGAGGGTAAAGAAGTGCTCAAAAAGTCGATGTCAGAGGGACACGGAGCCAACTAAAAGCACTTCCAATGGTCAAAACTGGAGCAATTTGAACAACAAAAAAAATAAAGCAGTATTGAATTGTAGCCCAAGGTATAAAATGAATCTCTATACTCATATGAATACACGATTGAATGAATAAATAGAGGAGAATAGACAAACCATCTGTGCAGATTTCCAAGTAATTTAGTGCAATTCCCTACTCTTTAATTGTGGGTCGTACGTACTGACTTTCTTCCAGATAGTGCGGTACGGTGATGAAGTCTACAGTGGAGATGCCTGACAAACACTCAGCCGGGTGGTCAAGGTTAACATCAACAGGGGTATAGCATGTTGATAGTATGTACCCTTGATATGAGTGATGAGAATGGCAGTTTACTTTCTTCAGTCTTTCTCCCCCAAAAAACCCATAATGTCAGTTTAATGGTGAGAAAAACATCAGACAAATCCAAATTGAGTGGCATCCTACAAGATACCTGTCTAGTACTCCTTAAAACTGTCAAGGTCACCAAAAAGTAGAGGAGTCTGAGAAACTGTCACAGCCAAGAGGACCCTAGGGAAACATGGCAATTAAATATAGTACAGCATCTGGGATAGGATCCTGGGACAGAAAAGGACTGTTAGGTAAAAAACTAAGGAAATCTGAATAAAGTATCGGTTTTAGTTAAAAATAACGTATCCATATTGGTTCATTAATTGTAACAAGTTTATACTAATACAGGATATTAATAAGAAGGAAACTGAGTGTGAGGGATACAGAATTCCTCAAACTATCTTTGAAACTTTTCCGTAAGTCAAAAACTATTCTAAAATAAAATGTGTGTTAAAAGAAAACATATAGTCAGGATTTGAGTAGATTTAGGAAATGACTCCTTGAATGACTTTTCTTATTTCCCTGTTGTCTAACAACTGACTGCCACCAAGGTAATTTCTTCTGCACTTGAAGTTAGTAGAGTAAGTATATGGATAGAGTTACTTCTCCGAAAACTCCAAATCAGTAGATGTATTGCTACATACAGAATATTTTATGTTGCTAATGTCATTGTTATATTATCTGTGATAATACTTGCAATTCTTATTAATACCATATCACTGATCATATTTTCTACTTGTCATAATCAAGATCTTTATTTATAATGGATTAGCTGGGATAGGTAGAGAAAGGGATTTATTTTTCAGAATAGTGCATCTGTTAGAGAACCCCAAAGATTTGAACAAAAAACTGCTAGAACTGATCAGTGAATTCAGTAAAGTAGCAGGATACAAAATAAATATCCAGAAATCAGTTGCATTTTTATAATGAACTATCAGAAAAGAAACTAAGAAAACAACCCATTTACAATGGCATCAAAAATAAAATATCTAGGAATAAATTTAACCAAGGATGTAAAAGACCTGTACTTGGAAACATAAGACACTGAAGAAATTGAAGAAGGTACGAACAAGTGGAAGAATATACTATGTTCATAGATAGGAAGGATTAACATCATTAAAATATCCATACTGCCCTCCCCGACTGGTGTGGCTCAGTTGGTTGGGTGTCATCCTGCAAAGATGAAGGTCACTGGTTCAGTTATCAGTCAGGGCATGTGCCTGGGTTGCAGCTTCAGTCCCTGGTTGGGATGTATATGAGAGCCAGTAAATCAATGTTTTGATCCCTCCTCTTCCCTCTCTCTACAAACAAATAAATAAAAATCTTTTGGAAAAAAAATATCCATACAACCCAAAGCGATCTACAGATTCAGTGCAATTCCTGTCAAGATACTAATGGCATATTTCACAGAACTAGAACAAATATTCCAAAACTTTATATTCGAATCACAAAAGACCCTGAATAGCCACAGCAATCTTGAAAAAGAAGAACAACGTTGGAGGACTCATACTATCTGATCTTAAACTATACTACTAAGCCATAGTCATCAAAACATCATGGTACTGGCATAAAATCACACACATAGATAATGAAACAGAATAGAGCCCTGAAAAAAACCCATGCCTTAATGGTCAATTAATATTTAATGGAGGAGGCAAGAACATACAGTGGGGCAAAGGTAGTCTATTCAATAAATGATGCTGAGACAATTGGAGAGATATGTACAAAAAGTAAAATTAGAGCACACTCTTACAAGAATAAACTCAAAGTGGATTATAAACTTAAATGTAAGACTCAAAACCATAAAAATCTTAGAAGAAAGCACAGTAAAATCTCGGACATTTTGCGTAGCAGCATTTTTTTCCGCTATGTCTCCTTGGGCAAGAGAAATGAAAATATAAACAAATGGGACTACAACAAACTAAAACTTGCATAGCAGAGGAAACGCACTGAATGGGAGAATATATTCACTAATGATACGTCTCATAAGTTGTTAATACCCAAAATTTATGAAGAACTTATACAACTCAACACCAAAGAACCAAGCAATTCAATTTTAAGATGGGCAAAAGACCCGAATAGATACTTCTCCAAAGAGGACATACAGATGGCCAATAAACATATGAAAAAATGTTCAACGTCACTAATCATTACAGACATGCAAATTAAAACCACAATGAGATAGCACCTCACACCT